CCATTTTATATAAGGGACTTGACCAGGTACAGATTTTGGTGTGCACTGGGGGCCCAGAACCCATCCCCTATGGATCCAAATTGACCACTACATCTGTAGCTATTTCAGTTTCAGGACTAAGTGGAGAACCCTCAGTCACCATAAAATAGAGAGCAAACAGGGATTGCGGTCTTCAGAAACAAGCATTGCCTTGTGTAGTCTTTGCCAGTGTCTTTCTCCATATACACACAGGTGTGACTCTGTGAGTAGGTTGTGAGTTCTGCAAAGGCCTCTGGTCTATGCAGTCCTCATAGAACCACTTTTTTTCACTCCTTGGGGATCTAGCCCAATGCCTTGTGAGCTACTACATTCCCAGCCCAGAACCAACTGTTGTCTCAAGCAAGTGGTCAGAAATTACAGCTCGATTGGTTGTTTGAGGGATGAATATGAAAGAATTGTTCAAGGCAGGGCATAGTGTCTCATGCCTATAATCACAGCTTCTTGAGGGGGAGGCAGGGGTATCACAAGTTCAAGCCCAGCGTAGGCAATTTAGCGAGACCCTGTCTCAAATATTTAAGACCAGGCCCGGGATGTAGTTAAGTGGTAGAATACTTGCCTAACATGGACTTGGCTTTAATTCCCCAGCACTAGGAAAAAAACAAAAAGGAACTGTGGAGGGGAAGGAAAGAAGGAACAGGACAAGGATACAAGGAAACCATGGCACGGTAGAGAACAACATGTCCTTGTGCAATAATAGAGAACAACTTATCCTTGTCCCTGTCCTAACAAAGGAAGTCTTCCTCATTTCCTTCTTTTCCTTTTCTTTTTTTTTTTGTAGCTACTGAGAGTTAAACTCAGAGCCTTCACATGACGTATGTTGAGTTTGTTTCAGCAACTACATCCCCAACCCCTTTCATTTTTTGAGACAGCATTTTATTAAGCCACTAAGTTGTCCAGGCTGAGCTCGAAACCGTGAGCCTCCTGCCTCAGCCTCTGAAAGTGCTGTGATTACAGGTGTGTGCCATTAAGCTTGGCTCAGGAAATCACTTTTGACTCCTCATTCCCACATTTGGCAATGAAGATAGCTCCCCAGCAGGCCAGAAAAAGTGCTCCCAAAGCTGTGAGAGAAGCCCAGACTCGGGCTGTCTCAGCATAGAACAGAGCAGCATGTTGTTTGTTCCCTCTGCCCACCAGCAAACGTACCCTCCTAGACCCATGTCACATCAGAGGAAGTGCCTAACCTGACAAAAAGAAGCACAGCAGTGCATTCTATGTAAGCCTTTGCATGCAGTATATGGAAGTGTCAACTCCATTTGGCTTATATTATACCTTCATTCCCTTTAGGACTGAGGAACATCTGACACATAGTGTGTGCACAGTGCAGTTCTTAATTCAAGCAAGGACACTTCTGCAGGGTCTGGGGGAGCTGCACATTTACTGCTAACCCTAAATGAGACCCAGAGTACTGTGTTTTTATGGGATTTAGTCAGAGGCCTTAGATTTCAGTCTTGATTCAGCCACGCAGGTGTGCTATAACGGTGGACAAGCCATATAACCTTGTTGAGACTTGGTTTACTTATCTATTTTTTTAAACTCAATTTTCTTTTTTCTTTTTTAGGACTGTTGGGTGCTAGGGATTGAACCCAGGGGCTCAGGCATGCTAAGCACATGCCCTATCACTGAGCTATATGCCAGCCCCTAATACACTTCAATTTCCTAAAGTATGAAGGTGTTCCTGGAAGCACTTGGCCAATTGTAAAGAACTATATGGCTGGAATGTGGGCCATTATTCAGCAACAAAATGGAACAAAGCACAGTGCTACCTTGGTTCACGAACTCAATTCTCTCCACCATTTTGGTCGCAAACCAAACTGGATGAGAAGTGAATCAAATTTCCTCATAAGGTCAACACTGAACCTAACCACTGAATGTAAATTTGAGTCTCGTTGAACTCAGTTTGAGGCCAGAAGTGTGGCGAGAATTGAGTTTGGGAACTGAGGTACCGTAGTATGTGCTACCACAGGATGGACCTTCAAGTCATAGCGCTAAGTGAAAGAAGGCAGACACAGAGGCCCCATATCATATGGTTCCATTTATTCCAAAGGTCCAGAATGGGCATATCCATAGGGATGGGAAGCAGATTGGTGGTTGCTTATTGGGTGGGTGGCGGTAGATGGAGAAGGGAATGGACTTTGAATGCTTCATGGATTTGTGATTTCTTTTGGGGGTTATGCAAATATGCTCAAAATAGAGATGGTGATGGCTGTACATTATGGCTGTAGTAAATACCACTGAATTGTACACTTTAAAATGGTAAATTTGTTTTTACCATAATAAAAGAAGCCAAAAGAGTGCCAGATGAGAGGTAACTAGCCCGAGAAGTTACAGAATCTTGCATTCTCTGCATAGCCTCCAATCCCTTTTTGGCATTCAGAGAATTTATAAGGAGTGGGTACATCTCCACTAAGGAACTTCTTTGGAAGGAAAGAGCTGAAGGGGAAAGGAGGTAGGGCCATTTGAAGCGCTTCCCTTCTGGATGATATTGTTTAGTAGATTGCCAGTTGTTCACCCTGTTTGTATTTAAATGAAAGGAGGCTTTGAAGTGGGCGCAGCCTCTGAGCAGGGCTTGGGGTTCCTGCTTCTCATGGTAAAGTTCAGACTTGTTCGGATCTGTTTGTAGCCAGAGGTTACTGTTTCTGGTGGAAAAGGCTCCAGTTTTGGTTAATAATACATTAAGAGGAAGATCAGGAGTAAGGGAGGGGGGATGAGTTCCTCTTAGACTGAGAAGCAGCTTTCTGATTTGGCCCGTATGGTTTTGGGAGAATTGTTTTTTTATTTCCTATGGTCATTGGATTTCATTTTATTATTAATGTTGGTTGCATATTCTCCATGGTGAAGAACACCTTAATGCACCAATGAAGGTTAAAAGTGCTGGGCTAAGCTTTAGCAATGTCTCGAGGAGCTTATGCCTATTAGTTAAAGACAACCAGGACCGTTTCAAAGTTCCTTGAAAATGGCAGGGAATTCAAAGGTGGTTGAGTTTACATATTAAGAAAAAATGCTCTCTTTGTTTCAGAGTAAAATGTTCTGTGAATCGGCAGAAATGGGAAGTCTCAGCTATAAGAGGTCACAATTTGTTCATGCTGACGGTCTCCAAGAGTTAAAACAATGTAGACAAGTCTGCAGTGAGCATTCAAAACAGCTAAACTGCTTTCTGCAGCTCCTCATCGCCAGCCATGTCAACGTGGTTTACAAACAGCGGAAGAAGTCTCAACAAACGCTCTGAGGGCGATAATTGTAATGATGTTCATATCTTCACCCTATGTAATTTTATGGGAATTGAGAGTCGAACCAAATAATAAGTTCCAGCCCTTTTTATCTGCCCAGTTCCCAGCACACTCCCGAGGTGTCTCAGGCACTTCTCACCCTAACCTTTTAAAACAGACTGTAACAATAACAACAGTAATGACAAGTTCCCAATCTGCCCAGTTCCCTTCATTAAAGGAGCCCTGGGAGCTTCAAAAACACTCATTAATGAAATCTGACAAAGCTTGGAAGGTGGAAAGACTTGCCTATTCCCAGTTTTAGACTGGGTAAGTGGAGACTGGATCCCGGAGGGGTGTCAGTCTCAAACTTGGGGGTCCGGAGCTACTGATATTCCCTGTGACCCGGGGAATCAAGAGTCCCAGGTTCTGGACCCACATCCCCTAGGTGCATGCTATTCGCACGTGGCTTTTCTTCTCCGGGCCTTAGTTTCCCCCACTTACACGAGTCAGGGTTGGGCCAGGTCTTCAGGTTTACCCAATCAACCCAGACTTTGCCCCATTGCCTGGAGGTGGAGGGGCGTGTGTGGAATGGGGGAGGCGTGCCTCAGCAGGGTCAGGGACTAGTAGGTGCTGCACTAGCAGTGCTTGAGGAAGCAGCTTAGGGGTGATCAGGTGAGGGTCGCCAGCCAGCTCGGAGTCCCAAGTCCCTCTGATGCCTACTGAGAAACAATGGGATCCTTGTGGGCGCCTTCCTCACCCTGCCCCGCAGCTGGGCTATTAGGGGCGTCCCCGGGGGCCGGGTGGCAGCGCGGAGGCAGGTATCGCGGCGGGAGAGCTTCGCACGGCTTCGGAAAGTCGGTCGGTCAGGTGGCCTAGCAAGGAAGGCCTATGGCTCCGATGTGGGCTTAGGAGCAAGTCCCAGGTCGCCCGGTTCTCCAGGACGCGGGCCCAGGAGAAGCTGTCCTTTCCTCTTTGGGTCGGGGGCTACGGGCAGGCTCCCCGCCTCAGAGGAGGACTGGAGGAAGGAGGAGTCGGACGGGGCGTGTCGCGGAGGGAGCGCCGCGCGCCCGGTGCGGCCCCCTAGGAAGTGGATCTGGCCGCTCCGGATCCAAGCCGGCTTCCAGGTTTTCTCCCGGCCCGGCCCTGCGTGCTCCCGCCTGTCTCCGGCCCCCCCCCACCGCCGCCCGCCCCCTCCCCCTA